GTCCACCTCTCTGGGGACACAAGCCGAGCCCAAAACAATCAAAAAATAAGCGCGCTTATACAGTGGCGGAGGCCAAAATGGCCGTCCAACTTGGCGAGATGACGGCGAGGGGGCCGCCGGGCCTCGTTTTGGGCTCCAGTTAGCGGCACTTGGGCCAGCGCTGGCAGCCGTGACACAATTATCGCTCTGATTGAGCAGACGCCGCTGTGTTTTCTTCACGCAGGGCGAGAGGACCTGGCGAGCGCGCGGACAAACATCTTGGCGGGTCGAACCGGAGGCCAACTGACTCGTTTTTAAACCCGTCGTGGTGTTTGTTGCATAAGAAGAATGTTCGCGGGTCCAGATGCTCTGCTTGTAAACATCCGAACACATCCACAGTTGTGCTGGCAAGTTCACATACCGCACTGTGACATATGGACAATTTATTTATTTTTTTTAAATATGACAGATGTTGCCGACGTCCACGGTTTTTGTTCCGCGATCGTGATCGTGTGAAGTTAGCATTTGGAAGAGACATTTCTTTGGAAGAATGTTTCTTATTTGTTGAGAATCGAGGTGATTTATAACCCCAAAAAGCTCCTCATCATTTTTTGTGCCTGACATTCTAAAGCTAAAGAAGGCCTTTGTTTTTAGATTCTTGGCTTGAATGCCTTTTAAGGCTTTGGAAGAATCTGCTTCTTAGCAAGAATGCTCACGAGTCATCACATCCCTTCGATATTTATTCATTCATTCATTTTCCGATCTGCTTTATCCTCACAAGGGTCGCGGGGGGTGCTGGAACCTTTTTTCGGGCAGTAGGCGGGGGACACCCTGAACCACTTGCCAGCCAATCGCAGGGCACGCAGAGACGAACGACCATCAGCGCTCACAAGCACACCGAGGGGAAATTTTGAGTGTTCCATCAGCCTGCCATGCATATTTTTGGAATGTGGGAGGAAACCGGAGTACCCGCAGAAAACCCACGCAGGCCCATGGAGAACATGCAAACTCCACACAGGGAGGCTGGAGCTGGAATTGGACCTTCTATATTTCATCACCCAAAAATATATTTTCTCCTGACTCCTTTTTTTTCATTTGAATGCTCCTGTTTTGTGTCGTTTCTTAGCAGCAACGTTCATGGGTCAAAAATGACAAGAGAGAAAGCAAAACAGAACACGGTCCAAACTCAGCACCCGAATGTAAACAGTCCCAAAGTATTTTGAGACTCTTTATTTTTTTTTCCCGTGGCCCGTGAAAAGAAACGCTTGGGAAGCACCACGTCGAAGTCGTTTTTAAACGGTACTGGCACACCGTCGCTGATGACAGCCGCTCTTTTGAACACATTTGTCATCTCGGTCACTCCCGAAAATGAGCTTATTTGGGCGAGCTTAATGCAAAAGCCATGTTTGGCTATAACGTCCCGCGCACGGCACAGATGGCCCGTCATAGTTACCCGAACGCGCCCGGGAGGAATCAATTCTGACTGATGCATGAAAGATGCTCGGCTAAGAGGAGCGATTACATCTCGACGAGCGGACGTTTGGCCGCAGAGAGCCCGGCGCCAACGGGAAGTCAATGGCAATATCTGCTTAGGAAGGAGCTGACACATCAATAAGCGCAAAGCGCGGCAAGCAAAACAACACAAACGGCATCGATCACTCTGCAGCAGGAGAAGAAGTGGCGAGCCGGTGGCGCAAAATTCACAGCGGCCATCCAGGAAATAGTATTTCAGTCTTCATTAGAGTGTCTTAAGCAGAGAGACGCCTCATCTAAGAGCCATCAGGCCGGGAGGAAAATGGACTGGATGCAGATAAACGATGATGGAGAGGGAGGAAAGCCGAGGCGAGGGGGTGGCGGCGGGGGGGGGGGGGGAAGAAAGGTTACGGCAGCGGTGAGTTCCGGGCAAGGATGCGGAGGACGGCGCGTAATGGCGTGTCTCATCTCCATGACACTCGCGAGCTCGTCGCAGCGTCGGCAAGAGAGACTTTCTGAATATTTATATGAGCGCCCTAATCGAGAGCGTTTGAGCCCCGGCGGCCCGCGTCGTCGTGAACGGACACGGCAAGTAATCGCATGTGGCATCCCGTCGCCGTCTCTTTCGGCCTCTAATTGGAGATACAAGCGCGCGGGTGTTTGTTGGTCTTGGCACTGGACATGTGAGATCCAGACACGTGCCACTTTAAATGTGCTCTGACGTTCCCGTGCGATGCGTCTCCTCCGCGCCGCTCCGTAATGGCGGCGTTATGATGAATCGGCGCGGTGGTTTCGGCTCCAGGCTGAGTGGTGATTAAATCTTCATTATGGCTTCTGGTCAGCCATCAACACACACACGCACACGCACGCACACACAAAGAAGAATATGAAGAAGAAAAAAAAGAACTAAAAGTCAATTCCTCTTCATTCGGCGGGAAGCCCCTTGATGGAATTGGGACGTCGGCAGTGGCGGCGACAAATAAATTACGACTGAGAGTCCGCAGATGATCGGCTTAATCTCTCTCGGCGGTGTTCCCAAACAAATCACACTCAAGTTTGTCAAGTCAACTTATTAGATGCTCCTCTCAACACTTCATTAGGTCTAGGAACTCTATTAGAGCCGAGAGAAGCACCTTAATACCAATTTTTTTTTTTTTTCTTGCCTCTCAGATTCGGTTTTGTTCTCATTTTAGGAGAACCGGAAAACGTGAACAAAACTTGAACGGAGTCCAAATGTTCAATGTTTTCCCAAATTGGTCCGTGACGGAAAAATAAAAAAAAAAGGTCATCTAAGAACTCGGTGGTGGTCCAAACTAGGATTGTATGGCATGGCAGAAACTAACCAGTGTACCACTCATCCAACTTAACCAACTGACCAACCAGTCAATCGAAACAACCGCCCAACTGCCCAAAACAGATACAACTGACCAACTGGTCAACATACATCAACCAAGCAGCCTACCTAACCACGAAGCCAATCAAACCAACTAACCAGTGTAACACCAGCCAACGACCATGTCAACCAACAACTGACCAGGCAACACAAGAAACTGACACCCAATCAACTAAACAATCAATCACTCAAACCAAACATCCACCCAATCGACAGACCAACTTCATAACTAAAGCAATCAGCATACCCAACCGAGTAATTACCACCCAACCGACCAAACCATAAACACAACCAAACAACAGACCAACCCACCTACCAACCAACCCGTCACCCCAACAAAGTAATCAACCTAAGAACAAGTCAACATGACACAACAAACAACTAACCTGTCAACTAACCCAACAAACCAGCCAGTCTAGGACCCAACCGACCCAAATAACTAACCAACTGGCCAATCAGTCGATCCAAAGCAGCCACCTGATTCGGCAACCCAACCAACTAAACTACCGGCAAATCGGCGAACCAATCAGCCAACCCACCAAACCCAATTAGTCGACCACTGCCCAACCAACCCCACCAATCGCTCACCTAACTCTTACTAACCCTACGAAAACAAGAAAAACCTGGACCAAAGGATAGTGCAGGCGTCTTTCTTTTTCATCCCTTACTCGCAAGGTTGTCAACGAGGCTTTCCCATCATCCATTGTGACCTTGGAGGACGCGTATCATGAACGTGCTCCTTTCTGACGTCTAATGAGCCACAACAGTGCGTGTCATTCCACTTTACGGTACCTGGCGGTCGCCGCGCCGTGAAAAATGAAGCCGTCGAGAAGCGCCAAAGGTGTTTTCGCGGAGCGGCGATACCGCAGAGGTTAGTGGCGAGGTCTCGGAAAATGATCAATTCTTTCATTCGCACGGTAAGAGGTCACATGGAGAGAATATTAAAAAAAAAAAAAAAAAAAAAAAAAAAAAAAGGAGGTGTTTTCATTAGTGGTTCAGCACTGCCTGCTGTTCACCCACAAAAGGACAGCGGAGTGCAAATCCATATCTGTTTTAAAATAGAGCCGCCTATCGGAATGCAAACGATGCTCAGGCTTTGCGCAATAAGGACCAAAAGGGGCAACCCTGCGGCGAGATACGTCGTTATCTCTGACATATGCGACAGAGGAAAATGGAAAAATAAAGACCCGCTAATGCAAAAATCTCACGGGCACTATACATATAAGGGGGGAGGACCCCCCCCCCCCCACAAATCCTTTTCAATTGATGTTACTATAACAACGGGTCCAAACGGGGGCTGTGGAAATGCCGTTAACTCTGCTCTGCCCCGTGCTGGCTTGCCTAAACACTCAATGGCGGCAGAATAACTTGTGACTTTTTTTTTTTTTTTTTTAAACCAATAAGACAAGATTCTCTCTGTTCTCTCCTTCAAACAGCGCGCACACTTACCGTTCAAATGAGACAAGTCTCCCAACGCTGCGAGCAATCGCGAACCAACCGCTGCGCCGTGGCACATTATTGCAGCGTTGCCGTACCACATCACAGAGAACGGTCCAGGTTCTCCAAATTGGTCCGGAAATGAACTATTTATTTACTTCTAGGAACGTGTCTTTGTTCATCTGCCAATGCCAATCACAAACACTGACAGGCGGAATCATGAAATGCTCGCACGTCAATCGTTATTAGGCATACGGTATGTACATGCTGTGACATTTTTGTTTATTGGTGTGCTGTGGGATTTTTTTTTTTTTTCCCAATGCGAAACGAGGACCTCACATGAAGTAGCACGATTAAACCGCGTGTGGAACGATTTGGATGATCGACGTCAATTTTTGGGAGCCATGTCGGACTGATTATTAATAATCAAAATGTCACGTGTGCTGTTCGGCCCCCGCGAATGTCGTTTGAGCTCATTTTTGTGTGACTTCGCAAATGTCAATGGCTATCATATTACAATCGATACGAGATTCTGACTCGCCGACTCCATCTGTCAGACACAAACACACCGCGATGCGTAAACGACTTGTCGGCGCTGCGGCTACGTTTGCGTGAAAGGGCGCCCGCAGTGGAAGCCCTCCGAATATTCCCGTGGCGCTACGCCGTGCTGTGACGTCGGCGCAGGACGAGACGGATGAAACGTGCGCTCAACACTCACCCGTTTCACATCCTTCCCAAAGGTCTCGCTGTAGCTGCTTCCCAGAATTTCAAATTGCACGTGGGAATTGGAGCCCTCCGCCCGGAAGTCCATCAGTCCCGTCAGGCCGCTGATGCGCCCCTGCAGCCGCAAGCGAGCGGGGGCGGGGGCAAAATGGGAGATGTCAGAACAAAGTGAAACACGCTCATGCTTTAATCCATTTCCAGTGTCCAAAGAAAACCGCCTGCGGCCACAAACCTGACTGCCGTTTCATGTTTTCCAACAGAGTTGAATGAAATGACATGATATGAATCAATGCAAATCGTGTTATCATGATGGATAAAATGTGTTAACACTGATGTCGAATCCGGCTTCTTTGCTCTTAGCTTGCTAAAGTCGAGCCTCTTCTCTGTCAAGAACACTTTGAAACAGTCATTCATGCCGTCGTCATATTTCAGCTGGATTACCGTCATGCATTTTACTTTGGAGTCAGCCAATCCTCCATGAAGCGTCTCCAGTTGGTCCAAAATGCTGCTGCTCGCCTCTTGACTGGTACTCGTAAGAGGGAGCACATCACTGCTACTCTGGCATCCCTTCAGTAGCTCCCATAACATTTGAGAGTTCTGATTTTCAAATCTTGAAATGGCCTGGCCCCACCTCTCCGCTCTGAGCTCCCTGCCCGGTGCCTCAGGTCGACGGACCAGACGCTATTAGAGGGACCGAGAACTAAGCGGAGGCTCAGAGGGGATGGAGCCTTTCCTGTTGCTGGTACCTCTCTTTGGAATGGACGTTCGGCAAGCCACCCTCACTGCCCATCTTCAAAACTCGGTGTAAAAGTCAGCTTTTATTCTTTGGCTTTTGATTCAGCATGAGACTAGAGATTTACTTTTACCGTTTTTGTGCTTTCTCCTGTTTTATGGTTTGTTGTTGTATGAATTCTTTTTGCTCCATATACAGCACTTGGCATACAGCGGTATTTGTTTTAAAGTGCTCTTAATAGATACACTTGAGTGTCCGTTTGTTGAAGAATGTTCTTAAAGGGACATTTTGTAGGTAAGTAAAAGGCGAATTCTCAACTTTTAGCGGATGTAAGCCTTCAAAAAGTGTCCTCTTGAGAGGAGTTTGTCAGAAGTAGTTAAACAATCAGAACCGACAATCACAGCATGACAGTATTTTGTTTTGCCTTCATACCCCGTCTGGTCATCTCATGTGAGTCAGGAAGATGAAACCAGCGTGATTGTCTGCAACCGTCACAAATTCCATTATCAAGTTTCAATGAGATGAAATGAAGTCATTTCTTCCCAAACGCCTTGTCTTATTTCACTACAGAGCGCGCGAGCTCACGTGTGTGTGTGTGTGTGTGTGTGTGTGTGTGTGTGTGTGTGTGTGTGTGTGTGTGTGTGTATCTGGCAGCGGTCCCTGTAGATCCACAGACTACTTCAGAAGACACCGCCAACATAAAAACCTTTCCTGATACTCGAAACCTTTCTCCAGGAAGACCTCGGAAGCACATTTAGTTTCGTCCACTTAACAATTTGAATTTCTTAAAAAAATATATAAATACAAATATATTGCTGACCTTTTGGATGGTGTCCAGCATGGACCATCCTCCATTCCAGGGCTTGGTGGACTTCCTCATGCAGTTGAGGCTGGCCATGCTGTGCCACTTCCTGTCCTCCAGCTTCCTGTAGAAGGCGTTGGCCAGCATCAGAACGCTGTCGTACAGGTAGAGGTTGGACACCTGTCGAGGGAAGGGGAAGAAAAGTGAAGCCATCGTCTGAATTTGCGAGTGGCACTGCGCGATATCGTATGTACCGCTCAACCCTGCAGCACAGTGTTAGAAAAAACAATCAGTAGCATTCTGAAGATGCTTCACCCACACGGAATGATAAAAACTTTTGATTTGCTCATCTGGGTCCAATTTGGAAGCAATCAGACAAAATGTCAAGTTTGTTTTTGAAAGATCTGTGGAAATGCCCCAAATCATTCAAAATGGCCGCCTCAAACAAAATGCTGTTTTTTCCAGGAGGGGCTCTTGAGACTTTTTTCTTTTCTTTTTTTTTTTTTTTTTTTGAGAGTTAAATCAGGATAAACATGCCAACCGAATATCATGTCGCGAAGTGAAATTGGCTCAGGAGGCGGACTCGAAATGATTCTGGGGCCCTTGAGCGAGCTAACTGCTCACCAGGATGAACGTGGCTGCAACTTTGCGCATTCTTTCGGCGTGAAGTAGCGATGACTTCTGCCCATGATTTAACTTATAGTCGTTCAAATCGAAAAAAAGTGTTCGTTTGGCGCCTGGAGGTCATAAGCGCATCTTTGGATAGATTGTACATCGCTTCATGCAGAAAAAAAATCAGTTCTTTGCTTCCGAGTCTGTGAGGTCGATAGGCGTCCATCTCCCGGCGCCCGTCAAAGTCTGCGTCATCACCCTCGCGCACTTCCAGGTGGCGTATTTTCATATCGATCACAGCACGGTAGACAATTAAGCGTTTATGCCCCGTGACGGCAGCGAAACCCGCCGCTCGCCTTGGGGAGGGAGAGTAAGATGACTTATGAATAAATCCATTCTTGTGGTGTGGGGCTTCGCGTGCAAGGCGGCGTGCATGCCGGCGTGCATGCCGGACGGGCGTTAAATCACGGCGGGGGCCGTGAGCGGGGAGGAGCGAAAAAAAAAGAAAAAAAAAAAAAGAAATACAAGAAGTTGTCAAAACAGGCTTTATTTCTGCTCGGGCTCGTCTCGCCTCTTCGATAACTGTCTCCGCTGTGCGTCCTGTCAGAAAATCATGTCCGCTGCCTGTGCTTCTGCTGCGGTGTGAGAGTGGATTTTGTGGCGCATCGACGCCCCCTCCCCCACCACCCCGCCCGAGGTCAAATCCCTGCGCCGTGCGAGACGTGTGGAAGCAATACAAGGTGTCACTCGGGGCTTTCGGCAGATGAAAGGTTGAAGAATCTCAGGGGGTAAGACATGGCCAAGGCAACTTCTCTTCCCTTAAGGTCATGCAATCATTGGCTGGGAGAGAAGAAGAAAAACATAAACACACTGCAGGAGGTCAGCGTGGAACAAAATGCAGGGAATGCCGCAGGCACCCCCACAAAACACCCCCACAAGACACCCCCACGCACTTTACCAACCTTTGTGAATCCGCATGTATTTTGGGAAACGATCCCCTGTCAGTGGCTACTTAAAAAAAAAAAAAATGTAACTTATTTGTGACATTGTGCAAAATGTGACAATGCTGTAAAATAGCATAAAGTGTTGTTTGAATAGGAATTGGTGTCAAGGAAGTATGTTGGAGTTAGACTTCTCGACTGCGGGACAAGCTTTATAGGCAGCCCGGTGGTCGAGTGGGTAGCTCGTCAACCTCACAGTGCAGAGGTCCTGCAGTTTGCATGTTCTCCCCGGGCCTGCGTGGGTTTTCTCCGGGTACTCCGGTTTCCTCCCACGTTCCAAAAACATGCATGGCAGATTAATGGAAAACTCTAAATTGTACGTAGGTGTGAGTGTGTGTGCCCTGTGACTGGCTGGCAACCGATTCAGGGTGTCCCCCTCCTACTGCCTAAAGACAACTGGGATAGGCTTCAGCTAACCCCCCACCCCCCATGAGCAGATCGGAAAATGGATGGATGGATGGATGGATGGTCATTTTTGCGCATATTTCCAAAATCAAATCATCTACAGGCTACTTATTTGGAAGTGTATTGTTGGTAAATGCGTATGAGTTTATATGAAACTGTTTTATTTATCGTTGGGGGTGCACATGGCAATTTTGGTGTGGTGGCGGTTGTTTGGTGCTCATAATTTTCTCAACCCACCGGCCTCACAGATGCACTTACGACGCTTTTGAGCGACGTTTATCGTTCATCTGCGTAGATACGTCATTATAATATAGCGGAATAAACTTTGTTCCACCCCCCCCCCTCCAGTTTGTATTTCCTTATTACAACATAAACACAGTGGCATACAATTTACAGCTTTAAAATAACATGCAATCCACATTGAACACAACTGAGTTGCATGGCCCGTTTGAAAAATAATAATTGGCCATCTCTGACTTGGAGTATCAGCTAGTTTGCTTCCTCTCGGGCAGCCATCCACTGCTCACTTTTTTTTTTTTTTTTTTTTTGAGGGGCACCATGAACGGCTTTTGCCTAAGGACATGTTTTGACGGACTGTCGAAGGTGCGGCGCAGCCTCACAGAGATAACCTTTTTGCCGCGGGCGTTCCCGCGACGCTTTCGGCCACCATCTCGCAGCGAATGTAGCCGTTAGCGGGGAGGAACTTCCAGGAGCAACTTCGAATCGAGGCTGGCCTGACCGGTATTCTCAGTGCGCAAAAAGTGCGGCGACAGAACTTGAACTGAAGCATCATATTCAATTTCCGGTCCTCGCGCGCACCGGCGCGCTGCCTTTGCGCACCCCTGTTGAGAGCTTAAAAACCAGGAATATAGGCAACATTTTCAGGGATGGGTACGGCGTCAACAAGTTGTGGTTTTGTGCTCAAGTCATTGCCAAATAAATCTTAACGCGCTCCGCAACACTTAATACGTGCTCAGGACAATCTTTGACAAATGTGATCAAGAGGGTCAACTTTAGTCCATTTGTCGGTATGCGTGTACCACCACTAGAGCGGTCGAGTGGGACGACCAATTGATGAATTCACGGATGTGTGAGCACAAGTGAAGGAAAGTTGGCAAGTACGTCTGACGTCCCCGTCATTGGGAGGTCGCAAGACGACCCCGGAGGAGGCAGCGTGATCGCATTAGAGAGTCCGTGCGCTTTTATTACACCGATTATTTCATTAGGCAAACCTAATAGTCATTGCAGTGATTTTATTATCCTTTTTTTTTCCCGATCAACCGAGAGCTGTGCGATTAAATGAGAACAGAAGAGACAAGCGGCGAGATGGAAAGGCCACAGAAAATTGAGGGAAGGTGCGCGCGACCAGTTTGAGAGTCAAATAGCGGCGCTCTCCAGTCCCTTATCAAGACATGCGGAACAACTGTTTTAAATTTGTTTTTTTTTTTTTGTGAAGGAAAAAAACAAAAGCATCATTTGTCTGGCTTCAAGACGATTTCAGGTCCAGGTAAGAAACGCATTCGAAAAAAAAGTAACACAATGCCTGCGACACCGCGAAAGCAATCTTGACGTTTGACTCTGGCGTGCCTCTCGTTCCCCCGGCGCGTTGCACTCCAGTCATTGATATTCATGGGCATTCGTGATTACCTTATCAAGGGCCTTTCATCACACACACTTGCATATATAATCAGCTAATATCGGCGCCAATGTTCGCAAAGCACTTGTGTACTGCTGCGCCGTCCTCGCGTGTGTTGACGGCACATGTGCCCGAGATGGTGTCAAGAAGAAGAAGGAGGAGAAGAAGAAGAAAATGACAAGCCACAGCATTGGTGGCGTTCTGGCTCAGCGACCAGCGGCTGAGAACAAGTGGCCCTCTTGTCGGCTTTGCAGAGAGCACACAAAACATGCTGCTTGTTCACAAAGAACATTAAAAAAAAAAAGCCTGATAAATATTTACAGCAAAGGAAGAAGCAACAAGAGAGGGATGATAGCGCCCGAGTCACCAACACTCGCCTTGCTTCTTTTGTGGCTTTTTTTTTTTTTCCTCCTCTGGCAGAAATTGATTCTCTGTTTTCCTCCCTTCTTTTCCTTTTACAATAGCGATTCCCGACCGCTGTGCTGCACTACTTTATTCCATTTTCACATCATTTATTGAGCACATATGGTGATTCTGGGGGCATCTATCTATGCCAGCGACGTGCGGTGCCGGGCAGAACAAATGAAATCTTCCGCTACATGCGTCGCGACGTTGTTTCCGACGGCTGCTATTCATACAACACAGTGATCGCTTTGTGTTTCACCCAAAAAAGATTTCACGCTGAGCAAGTGCATTTGGGAGTAAATTGAGACAAGATCCATGCAGTTTCGGTACTCTTTTTTTTTTTTTCTCGACAGGTTTCTTGGGTGATGTAAAATGTGCTCGCCTTGCACAACAAAGCTTGTGAAGCAATGGAGTACAGAGTAGGATTTTTTTGTTTTTTTAATTACTTAACACATTCAGTTAATGCGGGTATGCGTACCTTTTAGCGTCGAGATTTTTGCCCAGCCTACCTGCTAAGTGAAGGGGGTCGGGGGGGGGGGGGAACCTGGGGGTATGATGTAAATGAGCCAAATTGTATCATTGCAAACTGGCAGAATTTTGAACAGCACATTTTTGGAGCTGTTCAGCATATGATGAATAGTGCGGGGGGGTGCTTGTTTTTCTGCTGCATGCGCCACATGCACAAATCCACTCATTGACAAGTGTCATTCTGCTGCTGAGTCATGAAGTGATGACTCCGTGAAGGAAAACTCAGTCGGGTGTTGTGTTTGTGGGGGGGGCAGCGCGCACTTCCCGGTTTGCATTTTCATCTGGAGACTTAACATTGTGCTGCTCGTTGTCACGGTAACATAAGCGAGCGGGCACAAGACAGGACTGCCCCTTTTAACGGGCTAATTTTAGCAATGTTTTAAAATCTTTTCCCTTTCCTCAGTTTACTCTTTATGCTCATTTTCTTTTTTAAATGATTCCCCATCAATTTTATGGCGAAAAAAAAAACAGTGCTGAGGGTGCTTAATGCTTTCTTTGGGAGAAGCAATTAATCACAAATTGATGAGATACGATTTGTTATGAGCAATCTTGAGCGCAATTTGGTAAATTGTCCCGTAACGGACCATTTGCTTGGGTTTGAATGCAAAAGTCTCGAAGGCAATTGCATCATGACTGATGGCCGTCTCCCTCTCCGCGTGACCAAATGAATGTGAAAACAACGGCGGTCGGTCCTTGAACGAGGCGGCGTTACCTCCAGGGACTGCAGGTAGCCTTCCTGGGGGTCACACAGCAGCGACGAGATGCGGTGATTGTTCCTCATGCAGCGGACGTTGGTGTCCCTCCACAGCGGGAACACTTGACGGATGAGGGTCATACGGCCCAGGGAGCTGTGAACCAGCTCCATGATGTCACTGTCGCTCACTTCCTGTTGGTGGGGGAAGGGGTGGGGGCACACAACACAGGTGGACGTCGTTCTCTTTCTTGCTTTCTTGAGGCAGTCACAAACCCCCCCCCCCAAAAAAAAAAAAACAGGACCATGGCCTGCCACTCACATCAATATATACACACAATAACAATGTTATCTTTATTCGTAAATAGCGTAATTTAAATCGACATCAAACTTTTCCCAACAAACCGACCAAACGAACCAACGTGCCAATACACGACCCAACCAATCAACCAAAAATCAAACGAACAAACCACCCAATCAAACCAGCCAACCAACCAACCAACCAACCCAAACGCGAACAGAACAAGCCAATCAATCAACCGGCCAGACAACCAACCAATCAATAAAAAACCAACAGAACGAACCAGCCAGCACAAAATGACCAAGCAGGCAAGCGATGCCAACAAGCTATAAATGTGAACTTTAAAGGCAGAATTATCAATACCGTTTATGACTGAAATCGAGCCAGTTAACGCGCACTTAACAAGTCGACTTGTTCACCTTCCCGTATAAATAGTTATAAAGTTATTTCCCCTCGGGGTGCGAGTGGCGGGAGGCCGCCTGTGCGGAGGGAAATGGGCAGAGGCGAAAAAAAAAAAAAATCATTCTTCATGAGCGATCGCGTTGCCCGCTTGTGACCAGTGCGAGAAGGTGGACGAGCGAGTGGTCACCGCTGAGCGGGGGTCTCTGGAGGGGCGGTTTTAATAATTTTGTGGAGTTGGGGGGTGAGGGGGGTGAGGATGCGGCTCGCAATTGAAAAAGCAGGGCCTTGATGCCATCCCCATTGCGCTTGACTCATCAGACATTGCGATCTTTGACTCTCGCAGCCGCCTCTGCGGCTTTCCGTCATCAGAGCTTTTGTGTGTCCTCCATTACGCCGTCGTCATTATTTGCTTTGTTCTCCGCAGGGTACCTCCATGATGTCTTCTTTGTGCCGGGGGCATCTTCAGAAAAAGAGAAAGAAAAGAAAAGAAAAAAAAAAACAAGTGCAACCGTGCAATGCTGTCGAAGGCATGCACGCGAGGTAACGGCTGGCGCGTTAACCCCCAAAACGTGCGATACCACCAAAGTTACCACATTTGCAACTATGGGGAAAATTAACAATCGTTATTGTTTTGACTTAAATCAGGGAAACGTTTTCTTTGTAAAAATAAATTCTACATTCCAACCACGAGTCTAAATATGATATTCGGATGAATATCGCCTTGATGGAAGAAGAATTTAGCGGATTTTGCTCATCCATTTTAATCACCTCAGGGCGCTTTCATTTTGTCCTATACCGCCCTCTGCTGCCAAACGAAACTGATGTAAAAGTGCCCTCGGGCTCGCATGGCGAGCTTCACGTGACCAAAGCAGGTGCGGCGTGGTGCTCGCCATGCGAGCCCGAAGGCCACTTTGATATCCATTTCAGTCTGCAACAGAGTGCAGTCTAAGGATAAAAATGGAGATTGATTTAAAGGATGGATTAATCTGCTTCATTTTTATTGTCCCAACGTAATGTTCATCACAATATCAAGTTTAGACTAATGAGGGCATATAGAATATTTTGTTGCAAAGACAATTTTTACCTTCCGTTCACCTTTAAAGGGGTCAAATGGTCAAGCACAACATTTACGAGGACCAACGGATATTTGTTACCAAGGTGACCAGAGGTCAAGCTAGGGCACTGCGACTAAGCCAATTCAAATGTATTTTCATTTGTGGATGCAGCACTTCGTGACAAAGTCACCAATTTGCAGTCGTCAAATGTGCGGATGCGAAAATGAGGCGCAGGCAGCAGACGTGGGCAAACACAAAAATATCGTCATCATCACAATGGCAACTTTTGAGTATGTGTCAATGAACAGAAGCCACAGAAGTTAGCTCATGCCGATGTGTTCGCACACTGCTGCTCTGCTCACCTTTTGGACTTGACACGACGGTGCTTTTGTGTGATTGCTTGAAAACGGACAAAAATCTTATCCCTGCCTAGCTGTTAAGTCACGGGCAGAGATATTAAGTATCGCACCAAGCAGAGCGGAACTACTTCTTCCTAGCACGAGACAATATATTCCTGTCGCCCCCCCCCATCCCCACCCCATTCGAATGCTGGCGACGAGCAGTCAGGTGGAACTCATGCATATTCATGAGTTGTCGTAACACATTAATCAGATGAATGATGCCGTGCGGCTCACGGAGCCAAACCCTCGCGTCCAAGCTAATAACCGGTAGTGGCGCCCTGCTCCAAACGCTCTATCACCACCACAGGCGACCTTTGAGTCGGGCGCCGAACCCGTGCAAAGGTACCGGAGCTACGGCACCGTGCCCGCCGGAAAACGGGGAGAAAGAGTTCGCGCGGCGCGATTGGAACCTCGCTTCGCAATACCTTCAAGGTGCATTTTTCCTTTGTGTCGTCGGAACGGTTTTGTCACCATGGTGACATGCTGCAAGCTTTCGGCTTGCTTTGGAAGCGGAACAAAGGACGGAGTGTACTTTTCTCAAAAATCATTGATTAAAAGATGATAACGATGTCACGTGGAACACGACTCGCTATCATCGGGCTAACAGGAGAGCAGGCGAGATTGATTAAATGCTATTTAGATTCCTGCCTCAGTCCGGTGGATGAAACGGCAATCTTATACTTTACAGCGGAATGATAAAATGCGACTTGATGTGTAAATACTGTTTGCATCTATGATGTGGGATCAAACAGCCCTAATAAAGTTGCCATTATCATCAATACTGCATTTTGCATCTCGGAGGGCAAACAGCTGTCGCTGGCTTTTTTTTTTTTTTTTGTGTTCTGTGACACAGTGTGTTATTAGCGATAGCATCGGCAGCTAAGAGGAAGCTTGTATTTAGTCAATGACATTTTGATTTTGCCTTTCAGCTCATGATTTCTACTTCTGTCACTCGATGAACTGCAATTATTATTATTTTTTGTTTGTGCATCTATGCTTGGCATGAAATGGTTTAGAGGCTGCCCACGGGCCAAATGCGGGCCCGCAAGATGCTAGTTTCTGGCCCCCGCCTTGATATGAAAATTTCATGATAACGCGGCCCGCACGACTTTGATGTGGATGCTGCATGTGTTAGCGCTACCTCCGTGCTAAATAGTAAGGTCTGTCTCAGCCGAAGGCCGACAGCTTCAGAGGCAACGTGACCGCGCCCATGATGTAACAACAGGCCCCCCGCGTCAACAGATCCGCCTTCTGTCTAGCGGGCTGGCGTCTGTTTTTCATCCAGCCTTTCGAGCGCATTTTGCAATTTTCTGGTGTGGTGAAGCCTTCCGATCAGAGAAGAGATCAATGTCACACGGCTGGTTGCGTGGTTATCGTGGGATTTTGGAACGCCTTAAAATTCATCTGGGTTGCTGCTCTGTGTGAGTTCTGCGACAAGTGCGTCAGGTTGCCGATTTTACGTTCCGCATTCAATTGGATATTTACGCTTAGCTGACAGTCTTTACTCTCCCCTCAAACGCCTTGGCCATCTCAGGTTTATTTTTTTTTCTCATCACAGCAACACTCTGTGCACTTGGACACATGAAAAACATCACCTCACATCACCGCTCGCTCACGCAATGCGACACACGCGCTTTGGCCCGATTGCAAAGATCTCTTCAGTTAGCTCCTCTTTTGAGTGTCAATCGAAATTAGGCTTGAAACGGGCTCGATTCGCACAGAGACTGACTTGCGCAGTGCACCAGCCTGGCGTTCCGAAGCTCAATGTGCTGCTGCCTTAAGCTGGGTTCACACGTGTCCATTTCTGAACATCTTAATCAGGTTTCGCCACGTGACAGAGCCCACACGTGACGAGGAAACAATTGGCACGTGCGCTTTTACTGGACTTAGCATGAATGGTGTACTTGAGATGAACAAGAGAGAACACCGCACACTTAATGATATCCTCACGCGTAATCGCAGTACCGATAATGACCTGTGAGAGGCAGCACGGAGCCACAGTAAGCTTGGCGGTAACTATGGTCAGATGCAGTTACAAATTCTATTCCTCGTCATTTCAAATGAGTTGAGTCGATGACCCGTGAGAGACGTTATACAAAGTACAAACACGCTGCAAAATGTCTTTTGTGAAATCTGACAATTGTAACTTGAATCAGAAGGAGGGGGGGGGGGG